GTTAGAGGAAAAAATGAAAGGGTCAAAATCCCATGTCTACGTAAAAGTAACAGTTCCATTGATCCTAAGATCTTTGTTGTATATACGATTTGAAGAGAGCTCGTTTCGTTCATGGAATCAATGAGAATGTAATAGAATCGAATGTCACGCAGGGTGGCTAGGATAAGTTTTTGTGATACAATAGTGAAGGGGGTAACTAAATATGTTATTGATATTTACTTAAATATAGATAAAATCAAAAAGACAAAAACACGCTTTCAACGAAAAAGAAAAGGAAAAGGCATTCCTCCTTCTGGTGTTGCACAAAATGACGGAAAACAAACTCATTATTAATCAAACAAGAACGATGCGCCGGGGGTTTTATCTTATTTATTTAATGATAAAGGGAACAGAGAGGTTAGAGGAAAAAATGAAAGGGTCAAAATCCCATGTCTACGTAAAAATAACAGTTCCATTGATCCTAAGATCTTTGTTGTATATACGATTTGAATAGAGCTCGTTTCGTTCATGGAATCAATGAGAATGTAATAGAATCGAATGTCACGCAAGGGTGGCTAGGATAAGTTTGTTTGATACAATATTGAAGGGGGTAACTAAATATGTTATTGATATTTACTTAAATATAGATAAAATCAAAAAGACAAAAATACCCTTTTCACGAAAAAGAAAAGGAAAAGGCGTTCCTCCTTCTGGTGTTGCACAAAATGACGGAAAACAAACTCATTATTAATCAAACAAGAACGATGCGCCGGGGGTTTTATCTTATTTATTTAATGATAAAGGAAACAGAGAGGTTAGAGGAAAAAATGAAAGGGTCAAAATCCCATGTCTACGTAAAAGTAACAGTTCCATTGATCCTAAGATCTTTGTTGTATATACGATTTGAAGAGAGCTCGTTTCGTTCATGGAATCAATGAGAATGTAATAGAACGAATGTCACGCAAGGGTGCTAGGATAAGTTTGTTTGATACAATAGTGAAGGGGGTACTAAATATGTTATTGATATTTACTTAATATAGATAAAATCAAAAAGACAAAAACACGCTTTCAACGAAAAAGAAAAGGAAAGGCATTCTCCTTCTGGTGTTGCACAAAATGACGGAAAACAAACTCATTATTAATCAAACAAGAACGATGCGCCGGGGGTTTTATCTTATTTATTTAATGATAAAGGAACAGAGAGGTTAGAGGAAAAAATGAAATGGTCAAAATCCCATGTCTACGTAAAAGTAACAGTTCCATTGATCCTAAGATCTTTGTTGTATATACGATTTGAAGAGAGCTCGTTTCGTTCATGGAATCAATGAGAATGTAATAGAATCGAATGTCACGTAAGGGTGGTTAGGATAAGTTTGTTTGATACAATATTGAAGGGGGTAACTAAATATGTTATTGATATTTACTAAATATAGATAAAAAAAAATCACAAAAAACACCACGCTTTCAACGAAAAAGAAGGAAAAGGCATTCCTCCTTCTGGTGTTTCTTTGTCATACCTAATCAACTCAAAATCTCATCAATCTTCATAGAAAATCGGAATTATTCATAAAAAGCAGCAATGAAAAAAAGTTCAGGCTTGTTTAGAGTAGCGAATTATAAGCATGTTAACATAAATTAAAATAAAATTATTTTCATATATTTATTTTATGTTTATTTTGTAGTTGTAAATCATGTTTAAAAAACTGTTTTGAAGTCATTCTAAATAATCTCGATAGGATTTATAGTTGAGTGAGGAAGCGGTTGGTTGAAAATGGAGATTACCAATGGATTTGGTGGTAAATGTTTTACAAGTTCTATGATCTTTGAGAATGGGTGGTCAGCAAGCAGATTTGGTAGTGAACTCGAGTATTGGAAGGGAAAAGGTCGTTGATCGTGGCTGCGGGGTTTGATGGCATTTGATCTTGGTTGATTTGAATGATGCTGTCCAATGGCGTTTGAAGTTGTTGATCTGGACGAAGCTGGCAGTGGGGTATCGTTTGCTAGCGTTGGTTTGAGATGGGGAGAAGAAAGACGACGGAAGCTTGGAAGAGTGAGGAGCATTTTTTTTTAAAAAAAAAAAGGATTATAGCATATGGGAACAGGGATTACATAGGTTTTTTTTTTTGTAAATGTGGGGATGCATTACATTGAACCAACCAAACAATAGGAACGTAGGCAAGCATCAGAATTACATGTAACCCTCTTTTATGCATAATCAAATTAGGTCATTAATAATTGGATTAAGATGTAAATTCATCTTAGAAGTTTGCGCTTTGAAGCACTAGATATCCAAAAGTATTTTTGGCTCAATGTCGCTTTAGCCATTATTTAGATTAAGTTTAAAACCGTTAGTTAACTAATTATGTTGAGTTGGCTTGTCGACGTGTCGTTCACGTCATTTTTTTTGGGTGTTAAGTGCAAACTTATCCTATAAGTTCTTATTTATGAGCGCTTGGTATCCAGAAGTTTAGAAATTGTAACAATGTTGCCCCAACTATTATCCATGTTAAATTTGATCATTAATTAATCAAATACGCTGAGTTGGTAGGTTCACATGTGATCCACTTAATTTTTTTCTTTTTGAAGATGAGGATTTAGTACTAGCTCTAGGAAAATCATTGATTCTATCTTTTCAAACCTGTGGTTATTTTCGAAATCGACCTCATTGATTATATCTTTCAAGAATTCTTGTAAGCTTCTCCTTTACATATATTATTTGCTCTATTTTTGTGCTCTATTTTTGTTCTTATAAAAAGCACTAAACTAAGAGCAAATGACGAAATAATAGATGTGTCAAAAGAATTGTTTTTTATGTTGGAGAAAGGGTATTAGGATTATGAACCGGGAATGAAATGGATCACACGTGGACCTACCGCTCAGTATCTTTGGTTAGTTAATGGTCAAACTTAACATAGATAACATCTGGCAAACATTGCTACAATTTGAAACTTTCGGATACCCAGCGCTTCTAAGTGAAAACTTTCTAGGCAAATTTGCATTTTAACTCCGAAAAGAAAGCGACGTGAACGATACATAGACCAGCCAACTCAGCATAGTTGGTTAACTAACAATCAAAATTAATCTGGCTAATGGCCAAGGCAAAATTGCTACAATTTGAAACGACATGAAACCAAAAAATACTTTCGGATACCTAGTGTTCTTAAATGCAAATTTGCACCTTATCTCTTAATAATTTACACGACCAAGCCATATACCGGATTCTTTTGAACACTAATCTTTGGATGAACTCTCAAGACGGATGCTCAACGTTTCAGGAACTAAATCGAATTGGAAACCCGCTGGTCTGTTTGGTAAATCAACGAACTAGACCCTAAACCCGCTAAATGGGTTTGAAATTTGAACTTGACAAAAGATGGGTGTCTATTTGAATTTGGATCTCCTCGCGTTATGGCAGGAAAATGAGCATTCTTCGGCATAACATTTAACAATCCAGCAAGAAGTATGAATGGCTCAGTTCCATTTGTACAGGCCCATTAAAAAAATCCATTTGTAATAATTTAATTTATTTTTTCGTAAAAGAGTACATCATAAATTCTACATACTGACTTGACGATTAATATTAATTTGGAAAAATAATTTTGAGGTGACTGTTCTGTGAAGTTCATCTGGAGATTGAGTTGTGTTTACGGCAGAGGAACAGGAGCAAAAATGAAATCAAATAATAATTTTAAAAATAATTTTACGATATACAAAAAAATATTTAGTTTCTCTTAAAATCACTTTTAAAAATATTTTTACGCAAATCGAGACAAAATTCATCTCACATATTTTACTTCGTATACCATAAAATTAATTTTAAAATTATAGTTTGATGCCCACTCAAACACCTCCAAAATAAATATAAAAAAAATTGTAACTCGATTTATGTAAAAAAAATTTTTAATTGCTTTTGTTGACACCAAACACCCTGATTTTCTTGTCTTTTTAGATCTCTTGGGCTTGGGCCCCGTTTATCACCCAAAAACGATCTTCATAGTGACCTGACGATTTTTTTTTAATTTGAAAATAAAAAAATTTTGCTCCGGAGATGAACAGGGGAGTGTGAGTTTATGAACCCCTCTATTTCTTACTCGGGAAGCAAGAGTGATTAGGTGTAAGATGTTATTTTACTTCTATTTTATAATTTGTGTTATATTAGCCGTAATATACCCTTTGATCCTTTCAACTCTTACAATTTTTCTATTGAACCAAACCAGAATGTCCCTTTCAAAGCTACTACCAATCAATCATATGCTTATTGTATAGGATATTGAATAAATATTTATGACTTATATACACAATATAGCTTCCATTAAATTATATCTTGGTTCAAAATCATTTTAAGGTATTCTTTATTGGTTTATTCATGAAGCCATAATGGTATATCCATAATTAAAGAAAAGGTATACTGTTCTTATTAGGAGCATTGGCAACTTAAAAATTACCATGCATGCTTCTATGCTTCCTTATTCAATGTTATTTATGAAAATATAAGGAAATCAATTTTCTTTATGAGTAAGAATATTCTAATATTTATTTTTTATATCTTAATAGATAAATTTAATTAACTTAATTCAGAGATATTTTATTTAAGTAATACTTGTGAAGTATCCAGTTGTAACTTGCAAACCATGAAGCTCAAACATAAATCTTGAAAAATTAATTACAAGTCAATTAAGTCTTATAATCTTAGTTTCATATATTGAAAAATTAATAGAAAATTAAATTATAAATTGGGAATCAAATCAAAACATTTAAGAGAGAATTAACCAATCATTTCTTTTACTTTTAGAATTGAGTCTTTTGGAATTTACAATTGAAATTTTAATATTTACAAAATATAGCTTACAATATATTTCCAATTGATATTATTTTTTTCCCAGCAAATGAAAAATAAAACGGGAAATCACCTCGGCCCGCGCCAACCTCGCGGGTGGTCTACTCGAGTTCGTTACCCTTTGACCTTGAGGAGCCATACCACGCCAGCGATGGAGTAGACGATGTAGAGGGAACGAGCGACGTGGCACCAGACGTAGAATCGACCGCGTAGAAGGTTCCAGCAGCTCAGGAAGCTTAAACAGTCAAGCCACCTTAAGGAAATGGCGTGTAATCTCTCTCTCAGTTCTCTTTCTCAGTCTGTATTTAACTGTGTTTCTCTTCCTTCTTCCTGAGTGTCAATTGAATTCCCACCGATTTGTTGTAGCTGGAAGTGATATCGACTTATACTGAGCATTCCCGATAAGCTTGATTTCGTTCAGATCATTCGCGGAAAATGGTATCACGAGCGGTTCAAAACTCCAAAATTCTTATCCTTGTCCCAGCTAGTGAGCGTTCTACTTCATATCTCATTCTTAAATCCTGTTTGATTTAAATTGTCGGTGAATTTCTGGCCAATTCAGCTCCTAACTTTGTTCTAGCCGTGTGATAAACTCCTGAAGTCTATTTTGTTGATTAACTTACATGACACTGGAGATTCCGTTTATGGTTTAAAGACTGAACAAGAAGCTCGCCACTTCAATCCCTGCAGAACCTTTATAAAGAAAAAGAAAACTTTTCCTGTTTTGTCCGTCTCATTACTTACATGACACTTTTTTTTTGTCTCATTGCTTAAAAAAAAAAAGTGTCCCTGTTCATTCATCGCTGTTCATTAACTGATGAGAACTTTTACCTTTTCTTGGTACAAGTTTTGTTTTTCCTTTGCTACTTTTTAGGTTGGTCTGGCTCTGTTGTGCGGAGGAACCAAAGGTCTTCTGATCTCATTGCACAACTTCTGGCATTGCTCAAGGATTGTAATGAAGCTGAGTTTTTACCCGGTCGATGTGACACTGCAGCCATTGCCGCTCTGGTATTGTAAAATTATCAATGTTATCTGGTGGCTTCCTTGTCTTCGTAAAATTCGGACTATTTTTCATATGGTACAAATCAATGGGGCAGGCCATAAGAAATTGATTTTGGGGGAACTAGGGGAAGACTGTAAGATATTGGGGTAGAGAAACCCGATGTCTAATTCAAAAGAACCTTCCAATTCCTTTGAATGTCCGCAAGGGGCACCCCTCCCCCTTCTACACGAAAAAAGAAATGGAGATAAAAGAACAACCATTTTGTAGAAATCCATAAATAGAACGTGAAAATAATTCTCTTTTAAAGCCTGTAATGATCACAAGGCTGAAGAATGTTATGTCCCGTTGCTTCCTGAATCACGTAAACTTCATGGCTACAAAAGCCTGTCTATCAGATGGACAAACCCAAATCTCATCAAAGCAACCAAACATATATTCCAAATCTGCTAAATTAGGACTTATTGTCTTTACTCCGACAACTTGCTTGGTCATGGCTAATGTTAGAAGCTAGCTCAGCGGATCAGCTCCACCCTGATTTTTTGCCCAAATGAAGAAACCTTGTGATGAATAAGATAGGAGTATCTATGGTGATCTATTTGAAGGACAAGACCTTTATTTTACCCCATAACTTCGAATTTGATTACTGTTGCGTTGCAGGATAATTCATCATAAAACTTACATCTTTAGGGGGAATATATCAATTAATACACATCAGACCTGCATGTTTTAACTTCAAATTCGACAACTAGCTCAGGAGATTTCCAGAAACCTTCATGTTTCTGGAAATCCACGGAGAACACATGAAAATAATCCTCTTCTAAATAAGATGTGGCCAAAACCATTAATGACTCTACAGGGCCAGTGAACTCTATGCTCCTATTGCTTCTGGGAACGAATAAAGTTCAAAGCTATAGAAGCCTCAAAGTCAAAGGGAGAACCAAACTCTAGTCATAGCGGCCAAAGATATACTCCAAACCTGCCAAATAAGGATTTTATTGTCTATACTCTGACTACATGCTTGGTCATAGTCAATGGTCGTAACTAGCTCAGTAGATCAGCCCCACCATTGACCTTTTGCACAAGTGAAGCGACCTGTTGATGAACAAGACAGAAGCATCTATATGATGTATTTGAAGGAGAAAACCTTTCTTTTGCCCCATCTCTTTAAATCTGATTGTTGTTAAATTGCAGGATAATTCATATTAAAGTTATATCTTTAGAGGGAATACATTAATTAATGCAAAATAAACCTGCATGTTTTAACTTCAGATTCGACAACTAGCTCAAGATATTAGGGACCTGACCTCATCCAATCCTGTAACTATCTTCAATGGCAACTCTTCCTCTAATGGTATGTAGCATGAATTATTTTCAGTTTATCACGAGTTTTGCATGTCTCTTTCTTTGTTCCTTTTGAGTTAGTTGTAGTGATAAAAATTATATTTTTATCAGAATACTTCAAGGCACCTGATTTTATCTCTTTCAATCCATTTTTGCTGAAATTCAAGATTTTCCTGAATGGTTAACTGATTGATTCTACCTGCAAGATTCTCTGTATGGCCGAAATAACCTTATTTATTCCATGTTTTCGTAGTATTCCTCTGACAATCTTTCCTTTGTTTGGGTACTTTAGTATGTGTTCCTTCAAAGTTAGTGAGATGGTGGATTTTCCTGGTTGTAGTTTTGAATGATCACCTCGTTA